CCACACTCACACACTGCTGTTAGCGTGACGGAGTGTGTATGTGTGTGTGTTTCTGCCGGTCTGGCCTCTCCATCTGTCTAATAGCACGGAGCCGCAGTGTATTTGCCGGACCTGTAATAAATTATGCTAAAGCATTATTATTCTGACAATAATAATTTCCGTCTGCCGTGCGGCTCGCTGTGCTAAATGTTTGCTGACTGGCGCTGTCGCCGCGTTTCATGTGTGTGACAGCAGACGATGATGGATGACCAGAGCTGCAGACGCTCACAGCACACACACACATTCATCATGCGGACGACAGCTGTCAATCACACACAATCAAATAAATACACACACACACACTCACTCACTCACTCACACACTCACTCACTAACTCTTGAATAAAGCGCTTCTAGGAAGCCGCACATTAAATATCAAAGCAGCAGGAAATGAAAGACCACAGGACCTGTTTGAGACACCCTAGAGGACCAGAAACTAAAACTACTGTTCAGAATGTTTCGTTGGCTGAATTAAAATGTACAAATTCACAATAAAAGTAAAATTAATACGAAATAAACTGTAAGAATAATTAAATAAAATAATAATCAGCAAAAATGAATAATTCAATAAATAAAATGTTTTCAGATTCTCAGACGAAAATCGAATGAGAAAGAATTCATAATAAACAAAACTAAACACAACTAAAAGAATAATTACACTGAAATAAAGTTAAAATCATGCAATAAGTGGAAAAACTAAAATTGTTGGTCAAAAAATGTTTTTGTTAATTGATAAAAAAAACCTGCAATAAATGGGAAACTTTTGTGAAAAACTAAAACTATTGGTAAAAAAAATAATCAAATAATAATGAAATAAAATAAAGAATTGTTTTTAGAGTTAAGCGCTCATTGTGTGGCGGAAAATGTAATATTGGCAAACAAAAATTCACAAAAAATTAAGTTAATAAATATGAAATAAATCAATATTAAATACATAAATATTAAACGAATTAATATTAAATAAATAAATAAATATTAAATAAATAAATAAATAAATATTAAATAAATAAATAATAAATTAATTAATATTTAATACATTAATATTAAATAATTAAATAGAAAGATAAATAAATGAATAAATAAATAAATAAATAAATATAAAATAAATAAATGAATATTAAATAAATAAATAATACATTTATTAATATTAAATAAATAAATATGAAATAATTAAATAGATAGATAAATAAATAGAAAAATAAATAAATAAATAAAGTATTAATATAAATTTAGTAAAAAAATCAATAAATAAAACAAGAAAGAAAGAAAGAAAGAAAGAAAGAAAGAAAGAAAGAAAGAAAGAAAGAAAGTCTCTCTTAAAGTGTTTTTAAATGCCGCTTGGGTTCAGAAGCCGCACGTTACATATCACAGCAACAGGAAATGAAGGACCACAGGACCCATTTGAGACACCCTGGAGGACCAAATCTAGGACTAAAACTACTGTTTAACTCTTTCATTAACTAAAATATGATTTTTATATATTTACGGTAAAAGAAAAAAATATACAAAATTAAATAAAACTTTAAGAACATCCAATCATTCTTTTTCTTTTCGGCTTAGTCCCTTTATATCTTAGGGGTCGCCACAGCGGAATGAACCGCCAACTTATCCAGCATGTTTTATGTAGTGAATGCCCCTTCCAGCTGCAACATACTGATGTGTGTGTGTGTGTGTGTGTGTGTGTGTGTTTGTGTGTGTGTGTGTGTGTGTGTGTGTGTGTGTGTGTGTGTGTGTGTGTTTCAGAAGAGAATGAAGCGCAGTATGGCCAGACATCACTCTCCTGAGGTGCTCAGAGTGTATTATCAGAGGTGAGAGTTTCCATGCTTCCTAAAACCTGCCCGTACCACCAAGCGGGATCCCAGATTAATCTTAATAACAGTGTTGTACATTAGAGCTGCACGAGATAGAAACCTGACTCTGCGATATCTCGTTTTTCTGTGATATATATTGTGTTATGCTTGCACATCATTTGGACACACTTTATTTCAAGCTTCAGTTCTCGCTCTTAGCAAACCATTTAGACTTCTGCCTCAGTGACTAATTTGCACCTTACTGATAGTTATTAAAGGTAACATCACTGTGTGTGTGTGTGTGTGTGTGTGTGTGTATGTTCGAGTGAGTGCATGTATGTGCATGCATTTGTCTGCGTGTGTGTGTGTGTGTGCTGCTGTTGAAACACTCCTGTGGGACATCGGGTTGTTTACTGATGCTTGTTATTTTCCTAAAGTCAGTCTGATGATCTGAGCGGATCAGACCCTTCTGTGTGTGTGTGTGTGTGTGTGTAGTTCTGGTTGGTGTGGTGGGTTTGTGGTTTTGGTAATGATGGTTTGGTGTTCTGCTGGATTCATCAGGGAGACGTTCTGACATGTTCTGGCCTGCTGGCGTGTGTGTTTCTGTCTGCTGTGTGTGTTTATGAAGGTATCGAGATGAAGCTGAGACCAGAGCCACAGAACCACTGCTGCTGGAGCTCGCTAACCAGGTACAACACACACGAACACACACACACAGCCTAAAAAACCCAAACGCAGTGTTAAACAGGTACAACACAAACCTACACACGCACG